AGCCGGCGGGGACCGGGAAGGAGGAGGCCCCGCGCCTGGGACAGACGGGTGAGGACCGAGCGAGCCCGGCAGGGAGACACGCCGCCGTCCGGGCTCCCCCGCCCGCCTCGCCTCGCCTCCCGAGCTCGGCTGCCCGCGCGCCAGGCGAGGACCGGGGGCTGCGGGTGGCTGGACGGCGTGGCCGGGGCCGGGGTGGGAGGACCGTCTCAGGCCGGGCCGGGGCTTTTCGGCACTTTTCCGGGTAAATTTCCAGAGCGCAAAGTGCTCGGCTCTGCTTTCTGCTCCTTGGATTTCGCTCCCGCATGTGGGCGTCTAAAAGGAAACCAGAAGCGGTAAGCGATACAAAAACTCCACTTACTAATGGGATTTGGCCTGGGAGGGGGACAATCCGGATAGACAACTAGACCCCCGCCCCCCCCCCAAATAAATAAATAAAAAGGAGCTGCCCTTTAGTGAGTTTCAGGCATCGAGTTATTGACTCGGCAGAGAGAGGTTTGCTCCGATCTCTGTGCTCCCTGGCACCCTGCTTGTTAGACGCTTTGAGAGGACAGGCCTGTTGATTAACTTTAATTACAGTCATTTGGCCTCCACCTGCCTGAACCCAGCACCTTACACGGGGACCTGTCGGCCGTGAGTGTACCGGATTGATCTTTCTCGTTTCCTTTATGGAGACAGGTCTCTTGGGAGAATGGGTGTCCATCTCATTTAGTAAAGTAAGTTCACCCTGTCTTGTCTTCTTAAACACTTCCTTCACCTCCTTGCGGCGATCTGGAGTTATTTCGATTTGGGGGACGCCTTCGTGAAATTATGTTGTGAACTATAATCTTTGATAATTAGAGGAAAAATAGAAGCTAGTTTGTGTGGAATCATGACATTTTAGGCTGTTGCAAGTTTGTATGGTGATAGCGACTTTTTTTTTTTTTCAAGGTTGTCCTTGAAGTAGGCTGCTCAGTGGAATATATCCTTTTGGTTATAAAAAGAAAAGTGTATTTAAAGAGAAGCTATTTTTAAAAGTACTTTTAATCGGATGTCATTGTGATTACCAGTAATAGTATTGTACGTACAAGCCCAGTATTGATTTCTCCCCGCACTTAAGCACTCTACGCCCGCTACGCCCGCGCGAGTTTATGGAACGTTGCCCATAAGTAATTGGAAAATTGTTATGGCTGTTTTAAAAAGGAAGCTAGCTTTTTAAGGAAAAAAGAGAGAAATACCTCTAAACTCTTAGTTATGACTTTCATGTACTTACAAGAGAAGTATTGAGGGAAAATTCTCATGACATTCTACTGTTTAACAATGTTTTAAAAAAGAAAGAAAAAAGGAAAATGGGTCATAGAACTAGGCTAAAGCCTAAAGTGGAAACTATCTCCCAGGAAATAGCTCCTTTTTAAACATATATTTAACACATACACAGTTAAGGTGGGTCTTAACGCCGAGTGTTTTATATGGACTTGATTTGTCAGTACTCAAAGATTCATTTAATTTAAAATGTAACTAAAGGGTAAGTCAAATGACTTGTTAAAACTTATTTATGTGGGCGTGTGTTTGTATTTTTTCTTTCCTCTCTAAGCCTGTCAAATTTTATATGGGTTGTCCATGAAAGAAGCTGATGCTACAAGTAAAAATAAATTCTTAATCATCTAATATCAGTACAAGTTTCTAGCAGTGTGAGGCTCATAGTTACTCAATTAATACACTTCAGCTAAGAGGCAATTCTTAGTCACTGTGGTTGAGTATAGGACTCAGATTATAATGCATTGCAGTTTTCTTGGAAACTCTTGCATTAGTACTGTGAAACTATGAAGTTTTGAAAAACCTGCTTAGGACTCTGGGTTATAGACTTCATGATACCGAATAAGGTATTTCTTTTTGTTTTGTTCCTTTCTACCCCACCTCCCTGCGCCTTTGAGAACATTTAGTGAAAGAGGCTGTAAAATTGTAAGTAAAAATGACGGTCATTGCTTTAATAGCCTTCTTTTAATGAGTGTGTTTTTTTCTCATTTAGTTATTGACTCATTATTGGATCCGATGTTTGCACTTACTAAACTGAGGGATTTTTGGAATTGTCTGTAAAATATTAATTAGGTAGAGAACTTCTTATTAATATTGGGAATATTTCTTAGATTTGACTAAATGTGGATTGATGAGAGATTAGACGCTGTGAGATGTTTTCTTACTCTTTTCTGGGAAGTCCTGGACCCCTGTAGTTGATGATTTTAGTTTTTGTTTTTAAAGTATTGGCCAGATTAAATATATAATGATGGGTTAAACCATTTCGCTTGCTGATTTCCTTAGTTGAAATAATAGTCAATGGTAGTCTCTTCACATGATCCTTTCTAGGTAGAAATTTGACCTCTGAAATTTTGTTGCATTTTTGACTCAGCGTAAGTTTGTTCCTTACCTCCCCTGTGGAGGAAAAAAGGAGTCCTGATCTGGGGGGAGTAGTCATTTGAGCAGCTTCAGGAGTAAAAACTACTAGTGAAGAGGTGGGGAGAGTTGTTTTCTAGCTTTTTTTGTGTATGAAGGTGGATGGGTAGATGAGGAAATACTCAGGGAAGGAATAATAAGAAAATGTATCTGCCCTCATGGTTCTCACAAAAATGGGATGCAAAAAAGGACTCTACTGGTTACCTTAGGTAGCTTTAGGAAGAGGTTCACCCAGTTTGGAGTTGGAGAGATGATCAGGGAAGAGTAGAAGAGCAGTGTGGTCTCCATGCTGATTATCAGATGACTTGGGCTCCTGGAGGTGGTGCTGGTGAAAGCAGTTGCCAAGGCTCTTTTCTTTCACAATATCTTGATGAAGTTCAGAATCCTTAGCCTGCTGTTCAAGGCCCTCCATAGCCAATTCTAGCCTCCTTTTCTGGCATCACCTTTCATTAGCTGTTGAACCCTAGGTCGGTCCCAGCTATTCTCATCGCCTTGCTGTTGCCTGAATACATCTTCTCCCTCTATGCCCCTGTAGGGCATTCCTTCTACTTTAGATGCTGATGTTTCTACCTGCTGCCTTTCTTCCTATACATCTTGAAACTCCCCTCCACTGCTGCTTCGCTGATCACTCCATACTCAAAGCTCTGAATTGCTGCACATTTCATTTATGTTCATGGAGTTAATTTGAGATTTTTAGAGTTCCTTGGCATTTGTGAAAGATGATAGTGCTACTTATCTATGTAATTAAAAATAAAACAATACTTAAAATGTAAACCATGTGAAAGTCACGGTCGTAAAATTTGATTTTTCTTATCATTACTATTGAGGTGCTTTTTTTGGGGGTATAGGGTCTTCCAATTTTGATATTCCTTCTTTCCTGGTACTTACCGAGTAGTAAAGAACTGACTGTTGACATGCGTACCATTTTCCTTTGCTTGTATGTAGTCATATCTAATCTACTCCTTTAGATTTTAAACTCTTCGAGAGATGACATTGCATCTTCACTTTTTTTGTAGCACTTAACACTGTTCTCAAATGAGATAACAGGTGCTGTTATCTTGACCTGCAAATATTTCCTGCTATTATCTTGGAGAGAGTAGTTCCTTATTTAGTGTTCCTTAAATATTTATTGAATGAATAAATGTAAATAAATGAGTCGATAAGTTGGGAGACATTTGCTGAGATACCCTCTTTTCCTGAGGAAAGAAACTTAAACAATTATGGAGCCAATAGGAATAAGCCCTCAAATTCAGTTGGAAAAAAGGTCAGGGTGCTGTTTATAAATGTGAAGAGAGGAAACTGTTCACAGTAGGCCATTTTGAAACATCTGGTTGTTAGTCTAAAAGTGACTCAAATTCAGAGAAATGGTGGGGTACACATTTGTACTAAAATTTTAAAATTAAAATGTATATATAAAAAAGGGCACATATCATAAGTGTACATTTTAAAATCCTTTTATTGAAGTATAGTATCATGCTAGTTTTGACCTGAGTAAATTAAGCATTAAAGCTATGTTTAGTATAGCATGAAATGGAACCGAATCCTCAAGAATATGTGCCCATGTTCGTATAAAGTGTTCTGAGGGATCTGATTCTCCTCTCAGCTAGACGTGGCTCCATTGTAGAGCGGGGTAGGAGGGGGCTGGCTCTGAACAGAAGCAGCCGCCCGGGTGTTAGGGGCACGAAGGTGGGACTCTTCCACAGTGATGCAGGTTTTGGCTTACTATGCCTTTTCATTATCCTCACTTCTGCTCTTGTAGGAACTCAGGAATATGAACTCTTTATCTGGTTGCCTAAGAATTATGGCTCTACTTTAAAGGTCTCTGAAGTAGAATTGAAAACAAGGCTCAAACGTTAGCCAATTAACTTAAAATCTAAATGGACAGCTTGAAAGAGAAAAACTTAACTGAAGCTAAGGAGATTATCAAGCACTTAACTATTGAGATATTATCTAAAACACCTAAACCTAGGTACTACGTATGCTACTAATAACTTCTCATAATAAGTAAAGGAATCATCACTTCTGACCTTCACCGGATGTGGAAGTAGGTATTAAGTTCTAGATTTTGAAAGGGTTGTATTTTTCCGATTACAGAGTAAATAAAATAATCAAAATATAACTTAAAACAGTCCCTCTCCTTGATTCAAACTGCGGGATGCTTTTGCCCGGAGTCTGGCTATTTTCAGCTCAAACCTCAGTTATTCTCCATTTAGCAGACACTAATTAAATGCTTATTGCTTGCCAGGGACTTTTCTGAGATCTTTATGCATAGATACTCATATAATCCACAAAACAGCCCTGTGAGGTAGGCACTTTTATTATCACTGCTTACAGATGACAGCAGTGAGGCTCAGAAAGATAAAAGAACTTTCCTAAGGTCATGCAGCTAGCACAAGACAGAGCTGGGATCACTGGTAATCACTGTGCTCCGTGTCCGAAGTCTAAAGTCTTCAGGTAAAGTCATCATTCTCACTACTGTAACCACATTTATATTTTCCTAAATTAATAAACTATGTTTACTGCTGTGTTAGGTGCTTTGTAGGTTTATTAGAATAATTTATAGTGCTAATTTAAGGGAATATAATTTTACTAGGCAGAGAGAAGAATACCACTCAAACCAAGTGCAATAATATAATGAATATGGCCAAGTGCAATATTGTATACAACAGATGAATTAATAATAATAGCCAACATTTATTGTACATGTATAATTCATGTCAGGTACTGTTATATATACCTTACCTATTTTACTTGTTTAATCTGAACAGAAATTATATTATCCTCATTTTACAGACGAGGAAAGTGAGCTTCAGGGCAATTAAATAACTTAATCAAGTTGCATAGTTACCCAGTGGGGAAGGCCAGATTGGAATTCAGGCAGCCTGACTCCAGAGCACTGTGCTCC